CGCGCGGCGCGCGTGAGGCGGAGTTTCCAGATACAAGGGATCAGTGGACACAAACGGGATCTCTTAACCCCTTTGCCCGTGGGATGCTCGGGCGGGGACCCACCGAAACAAGGGATGGCGAGGCGCAGACAGCGCCTATCTTGGTAATTACCGCGAGCGTGCAAACGGAGCTACCACCGGAAAGCCCGACAGCCGGACCAACTCGTCTCGGAGGAGGCGTAACTCAACCGGGAAGCCAAGGAAGAGGTCGAGGCCCCTTGGTGGAACCAGGGCCCACGGCCACGAGCGAACTCCGACTAATGAGGCATCTTTACGTGCGCCCGCTTACGCGCACCGTGGAGACTTCTCCCCGGACGCCCTCGCCGCCGATACCGTCTCGAACGGGACGATCACCCCGTAGGGGACTCTCCCGAAAAAAGTCACTAACTCGACGGGCCGCAGTTAGCCGCTTTCTAGTCCGACGGCCAACACGAGGGGCCGACCGATGTTGGAATTGCCGGTCGGCCAACCACCGTTACTCAGACTGCCCGGAGCCGAGGGGTAACCCCTATTGTTACGGGTGCGGTAGGGACGGCGTTACTATGCCCCAGGTGCGGGCCGGAATGGCGCGATCTCGGCCCATATCATCCAGACAAGGGCCATCTTGGGAAAAAGGAACCGAGTTAGCTACCGTATATACCGCTCCTCTCTTCACCTTAACTTATGGCCGATAACCATTGTGAATAGACCAAGGAGAATAGGAAATACAGAAGATTGAGAATTATCTGCGTGTACTGAGTCGGGTTATTAAAGAACCTTCTCCCCTCTCTTTTCTTTTTTTTCCTCCCTTTTTCCTTGATTGAGGCCCTTCGAAAGAGGAATCTGTTTTTCTTTTGTTGTTACTTGCTACTTGTTTCTGTTTTTGGTCGGATGTACGTGTTTTGAATGTTGCATTCCTCATGGCTAGAGGTTGCGGCGTGTCGTGAGAGAGAGAATCGCGGCAGGCGCTAGAATGCGGGATGTTCAAAGGTTAGCTTGGTGGTCAGGAAGAATTGGTGGCTGTCGACGCTTGTTGCCAACCAAGATTTCCTCGGTCCTTTCCTGGGAAGGGGGAGTTGTGACATGACGTTTTTGGGACGTTCGTCATAAGGGCCGAATGCCCCGATTGTAGGCAGTTTTTCGGGGGGCTTTGTCCTCCTGATTTAGAGAGAAAGCGGCCCGATTGCCAGATCAACGAGATCTGGCGATTAGAGATAAGAACGAAACTGTAAGCTCGATTATGAGCCCGCGAGTTAGTTGTCGGCACAGGATTGTCGACAGGAAGAGAGAAGAAAGGCAGCCGAGAGCGGGAGTCCGAAACATCCAGCGAGCGGGAGCCGCAAGGTCGTAATCGCTTTATTACATTAAAAACTCCATTGGTGGCAAATAAACATCATTGCTGTTAATCTTGTATTTTTACGGCAGGAAAGGGGCGCGGAGGGCCGGAAAGATTCGGTCGAAGGAACATCCACTCCATCCGCACGAAGCGAGGGAATCCCAAAGACGGAGCGGCGAGAGGACTCTCATCCCGGGACCTATTCTGCAAGATAGGAACGAGAGCCGATCGGACGCTGCCGGAAGCCCGCATCTCTAAACCGGAAGACAGCACAAATTTGGAAAATACGGGGCGATGGATCTACTAATACGGCCGTGACGACAGCAAGGACCGCGAGGACCGCAGGATGGCTCTGCGCAACGCCGAGGCGCCACAGGTGGCATGATCCCGATTTATCGCACCGGCGTGTCTCCTGCAGGACTCTCGCTCAGCACTGTTCGGCGAGCCACGGATCGGGACACAGGCCTCAAGAAGCGTCGCGAAAAAGGCTTAGAAGGACGAATAGCGTAGATCTTCCGACCGGTGGGACGAGCGTCGTCACCTGTATAAAGCTGCCGATTTATTGTAGGTAATTAATTCGAATGAATCGCGCCCGTATTAATTGTCGTACCACGCGCTTTGTGAAATTAATTTTGTGAGTTTTGGTAAATTATGTCGTATCGGCCGACGGGCATCCGCTATTCATCCGAATCATGAAATAAGCGCTCTCTCTTTACATATTTCGCCGCCGCCGACAGTCACTTATGTTAGTTTCGCGTTTCTAATTATTGTGTATTACGAAATTATCGGGATTTTCACGCTCGCGCAATCGATATTCCGGATCGCGTAAAGTATTGCGTCACGCGGCTCATACACCACAGTCGCTCTCGATAGTTTCCGTCCTTGTTTTGTCCGCAAAATTATTAAATAATGTTCGTAGTTTAAGTGTAGCATTTAGAAAGCCTAAATCTCGAATATCGTTCCAAATGTGCATCGGGTATCTCTGAACCCCGAGCCACGGATCGGGACACAGGCCTCAAGAAGCGTCGCGAAAAAGGCTTAGAAGGACGAATAGCGTAGATCTTCCGACCGGTAGGACGAGCATCGTCACCTGCATAAAACTGCCGATTTATTGTAGGTAATTAATTCGGATGAGTTATCCGTCCTTGTTTTGTCCGCAAAATTATTAAATAATGTTCGTAGTTTAAGTGTAGCATCTAGAAAGCCTAAATCTCGAATATCGTTCCAAATGTGTATCGGGTATCTCTGAACCTGCTGTTAGTTTCCGCGAATCTTTAGAATTATATCTGCGCATTCCGACGCAAAGGTCGTCGCTATTATTATAGAAACGCGTATCGGCTTACTGCCAGCCCCGTTAAAGGACAGATTCGAGTCATATGGCGTGGAAGTTTTTATTGTATCGAAGCGGATTCACGATCGTGTACAAAGTTGTTACCGGCGCGTCCGAGAAGTTTCTTCAGTTATCGTGGCCCAAATAAGTCACGTACGGCAAAAATCCTCACGACCGAAAAGTTAAGCTTGCATCGCGTTAAACGCCCGGTAATTGGATATTCTTGTGCACAGTCGTGTCGATTTCCGCGGGACCATCTCGATCCCTTATTTGTGCCGAACATACCTCTCGATATCGAGGATCTTCATTTGTTATTACTGCTCTATACTCTTGTTACTTTTTATCTTACATATTGAACGCTTAGTTTTTGGACTCCCGTGTTCTCGACTATCAATCTCTCCCGTTTTTCTGGCAAACCACCCCCTCTACCAATTCGCGTTTACTGACTGGCCGCGTATTTGACTGTCGCGTTAATTATCGGTTCTGCTATTTGTCGGGTTGCGTTCGCTATTGTCTTACGTGCGGCCTGCCGTACCTGGCGCCCAACTCGGTTTCTTTCGCGAAGAATTGCATTCTCGAAACGGCGGAATCGATATTAGAAACTTGCGCCGAAGGTGTGCCGTGGGCACTGAAGAACCGCCCGCCGAATAATTAAGTTAATAATTTCTTAAAAGAGAAAACGGTTACAATATATATACACACACATCACATACACACACAATATATATATATATATATATTATATTGAGTATATGATGCCAATTATAAAAAAAAATATTACTTACTGAGAGCACAATTTGGAACGCTGGGAAACCACCGGTTATTCTGACAAAAAATTCTATTGGCACCTTGCAAAGAACCTTCAATGTCGCAAGTATAATCGAGCCATGTTAGTTCGGGAACGATATCGCCTGGTCGGCATCTTGAACATCCGCTCACGTCATAATGCGTTCCTGCTTTTGCAGCAGGCAATCGACAGGCACCTTCTGGCAACGTTATCGCGCACAAAGACTCGTCCTCGTCACTCCAGTCGTAACAATTTAACCGAGAATTACACTTCAATTCCGGTCGAATACATCCACCGTAGGCGCATCGAAACCAATTTTCAGGACATCTATAGAGAATTTTAATGACTATTGTTCTGTTTCACAATACGAATAGTTGCCACATTCTGAAAATGGCTGATTGATTTTTTTATTTTCTTACAATAACGAATATTGTATAAAAGTTTCATCTTTCATTTTAAAATAATTGTTCCTAAGAACTGATTCTAGAATTTATAAGCAGAAAATTGTATTATTGGATTGAAATATTTTTAAAATACATACTCACGTATTTTGCACATTTCTGGACTTTCATCAGATGCATCTGCGCAGTGTCGAATACCATCGCATATTTTAGCTGTTGGTAGGCATTGTTGTTTATTCTTACATGCAAATTCTTCGTCCCTATATAAACAGGAAATAATTTATTTGAATTTTGATATATGTGCTAATATATAATATAATTATTAAATTAATAAAAAATAAATTAATCAATTAATTAACCAACCGGCATTTATATTGTGAGCATTTTTCACCTTCGCAATTAATAACCGCGCACATATTTGAATCTTCGTCGGTGCCGTCGATGCAATCTTTGACGCCGTCGCAAATCACTTCTTGATGAATACAACCTCCGTACAAACAACGGAACGTATATTCAGGACATGGATACTCGTGACAAATTATTGCGTTTTCGTCACTTTCATCCGAACAATCTTTATATCCTGATAGAAAGCGGAATATATAGGTTTGTCTCTGCCAAATATAAAATTAATTTTTCTCTAAAAATAGATTTTTATTCAATTTTTGATATATTATCGCACGCAAATTAATCAGGACATCTATAGAGAATTTTAATGACTATTGTTCTGTTTCACAATACGAATAGTTGCCACATTCTGAAAATGGCTGATTGATTTTTTTATTTTCTTACAATAACGAATATTGTATAAAAGTTTCATCTTTCATTTTAAAATAATTGTTCCTAAGAACTGATTCTAGAATTTATAAGCAGAAAATTGTATTATTGGATTGAAATATTTTTAAAATACATACTCACGTATTTTGCACATTTCTGGACTTTCATCAGATGCATCTGCGCAGTGTCGAATACCATCGCATATTTTAGCTGTTGGTAGGCATTGTTGTTTATTCTTACATGCAAATTCTTCGTCCCTATATAAACAGGAAATAATTTATTTGAATTTTGATATATGTGCTAATATATAATATAATTATTAAATTAATAAAAAATAAATTAATCAATTAATTAACCAACCGGCATTTATATTGTGAGCATTTTTCACCTTCGCAATTAATAACCGCGCACATATTTGAATCTTCGTCGGTGCCGTCGATGCAATCTTTGACGCCGTCGCAAATCACTTCTTGATGAATACAACCTCCGTACAAACAACGGAACGTATATTCAGGACATGGATACTCGTGACAAATTATTGCGTTTTCGTCACTTTCATCCGAACAATCTTTATATCCTGATAGAAAGCGGAATATATAGGTTTGTCTCTGCCAAATATAAAATTAATTTTTCTCTAAAAATAGATTTTTATTCAATTTTTGATATATTATCGCACGCAAATTAAGGGAGCTGAAGATATTGATATATATTATATATTTGTTCCAATTAAATTAATAAAAATCTAGATTATCTAATTTTTAATTTGTGATGCGTAGTATCTTTCATGTAAATTATTTTAAAACCATAAAGATATTAGAATTGAACACTTTCGCCGACTGAGATAGTGTATTGTCGAAATTAATGTGACAAATACAGACCGTTGCATACATTGTCGAGAGATATGCACTCTCGATGTATAGTAGAACATTGAAATTCTTTATCGGAACAAACATCATTAGAATCTCGATCGCAAGTGATCTCATCGCTAGCATCCACACAATCTACTAGACCGTTGCATCTCGCCGTACGATTCACGCAAGCACCATAATTGCATCTATACATATTCATGGGACATCTGCAAAAAAATATTTCCGTTAAAAACATATAGAGTATTCCTAAAATAAATTATCCAAACATTATCAATATATTTTATTAATCGTATTGAGATGAGAAAATGTGATATAAACACACTAAGAAAAGAAGATTGTTGTAACTTGATTAAATGCGTTCAACTGATTACCATTTTTTAATTTTTTTGATTGAAATATTTAGTATTTTATATATTATAATATTATATATATATATAATATTATATATTATTTATTATAATATTAAGTATTTAAGCCAAATATGTTATGTTAGATTTAATATATCATATTTAATTTAAATACTTAAATATTTCGATTAAAGAAATAGTAATCAGTTGAACGCATTTAGTCAAGTTAACACATTTTTTTTTCTCATTATATAAACTTGATATTTTCTTCGATATTGTATGAAAGTTTATTAAAAATATACTTATACATATATCTTTACGGATATTAAAGATACTTTAGCGAAAAGATTTCTCTCTCAATATACAAATAAACCGTTAATTATTAAAAAAATAATAAAGATGTTTTTTGATATATATATGATGTTAGAACACTAGTCATAGAATTAAATACTGAATGATGAATATAGATACGATTTATTACGTACAACTTTAAAGAACTATAGAAAAAAACGTTTGCAGTCTTTATCTGTTTAACTGTTTTATCTTCAATTAAAGACATGGCACTTTGCGAAATTCTTTATTTAACGACTCAATAATGAAAATTAATGATAATATCTTCTTACACAATATGACGGCACAGTGTTCCAACTTCATCCGAAGAATCAGGGCAATGAGGAATTCCATCGCAAACATTCACCAATGATATTACAGTGGCGTCCACGCACACAAATGTCAATGATGAATACATTTGATCATTTTCTTCCGTAATAACGTATATTCTGCTAAATCCTACTTGCAAATGTCATAATTAAATTACTGCACACATTAACGATATCGTTATAACGCAATCAGTTATATCTATTTTATTACGTGCAACTATACCGAGAATCGCTGTAATCAGCAGCATTAATGCGATCATTTTAAAAAAATTATTAGTATTCCTGAAAATCAAGATTATTCTTCTCGCAGACTTATGCGAAAATGTGTAAGCCATGGTTCCTATATGTACTTGTAATTATATACCTAGCAATTATTCTGACACTCGTCTGTGCATAATTTTTATAGCAGTACGGAAAATTGAGTTTTTTTGTTCACCTAATATCTAATGGTAATGGAACATTGTATGAATGTTATCTTGTTATTATTAAGAATAAAAAGGTACAGGTTATAAAATATTGTTATTCATAAGATATCTTTGCATATTGATCATTTTTCTTTATCAACTTTGTTGGGTGATTATTGAAGGATTCGAAATTAGAGTAGACTAAATCTATAATTTGTATAATCCAAGTGCAATTTAATATTTGTTTAATAATTTTTTTAAGTTATAGATTTAGTTTATACATGCTTTTATATCTCATTACTCATTACATATGGTCAGGTTTAGTTTGCCTCAACTCTCTTTCATCTATTTAATCAAATAAAATCGCACTTGTACAATACCTATTGTTGAAAAATTGTTTACACTGCCGATAGTCTTGTTGGCCAAAATCTTGTAGACTATACATACTTATAAATGTAAATGCATCTTAACAGAAATATACATTAGTGTTTATCTTGTTTAGATTGCCAATCTGAAGCAAAATGTACAGACTTGAATTCAATTAACGAACGTTTTTCTTTCAAAGAAGCGTCCGCATTTAGTCATCAACGTGCTAACTGCTTTCGTGGAAAGTTATCGTCATTTGATAAACAGATAATGCATGATGGCGTATCTTAAAATATAGTATCTTGTCACACTAGCAAATCAGTATCTTTCGTAATGACGTAATTAAAGCTAATGTACACATGAGAAAATTCCAAAAATATTTATTGAGAATTTTCGTGAGAAAATAAAATATAATGATAGGTTTAAAAAGAAATATAGTCAATGACAAAATGACTTAATTATACATATGTGCTTAGAATTATATATAATTATAATTACAACCTGTCAAAGTCAAAGAAATTAGTAAAAAACGTTTTTTATTTATAAATTATAGAATATTTGTAAAATGGGTTTGTGAGATGAATGTCACATTGTTCCCTCGTAATCGTTGATTCATGCTTTGCGTCAACGGTTCGATCCCTGAAGGATAGGGCAATGCGATTGCAGAAGCGATCATATAACAGTATGTATATACAGGGTGTGTGCGTTCGTTATCGGGAACTTCTTATCATTCAGTTCGTACGAAGAGGCAAACGACACACCTAGTTCCGCTCTTGCCATCCACGTTAGAAAGAACATTCAATCGCTGTGGCAGTTTATATCAAACTGTTGCTGGATATTGTCTTCAGATCAACGATGAGAAATATCGTTTGGGTTATTCTGCTTCTTGGGGTTGCACGTGCGCAACAAGAATGTAAGTAAACCTAATTTATTAACACATTTCATCTATTTTTGCTTTTTCACTAAAATTATCTATCTATTAAACAGGTATGGTAAATTTATTATATTTTTATAGTATGTAGCTCGATTCTGTGACGAATAATCTCTAAATTCTATGTGAAAATCTAAAACTATAAAAACTGAAATATACTAATTAAAATTAAATAATGAATGTTGTATGTTTTGTGTGTGTCATAATTTCTATATACTACATAATTTAATAAACTTTTAGAAATACTTATAATAGTTATTTGATATTAAAAAAAAATGTATGTAATATTAAATATATTTGCATTTAATCTTTATCATTCTTTTCGGAATATTCTGCAAATAAAAAAAAACTGCTTTGCGTATCATAAATTTTATATTGAGTAGCAAAGTCCGATTCATTGCGTATTGATAAGAAAATCGTAATTGCATTGCTTATAGCATATATTATAACATTAGAATCATACAAAAAAATATGTATAACATTTTAAATAATTTATGCTAAAAATATATCATATAATAGAATAATATATCATATAATAGAACTTTAAGTCACAGTTTTTTTTCAATTTTTAAATATAGATAGATAAAAATTTCAAGCATAATTTGAATGACAAAAATGGTTGATATAATAATATTCATATAAAGAAAAATTTTTAATAGAATAAAAACAATGAGGATAAAAATTACATATTTTTACATGTGCAAAAGTTAAAAATAACTTCTGAAAGATATTCTGTGCAGGACTTTTTAATTATTTTCTTACATTAGAAAAAAAGGAAGATAATATATAT